ATTTTGATTTTGACACCACATTATTTTTTTCACAATTATATCACTATATTTACAATTTTGTTGCAATATCAATCAAATGACTGGTTCTCCATGTTCTTCGCGTAACCATTTTTCCCGAATTTGAATAGTCACTAAATTTACCAAAATTTCAATTTTGACACCGAGTTTCAAATTGCAAGAAAGTCACTATATTACCACAAAATTTTCATTTTGACACTGATTTTTTTTCTCAATTATGTCATTACATTTACAATTTTTTTGCAATATCAATTGATTGACCGATTTAGGAGATGTTATTGTGGTTAAGAAGCTTGATTTAGAAACTTGATTTATACAACACATAAATGAATGTTAGTCCAATGGTTCAAACTCGCTTACAAGTCAGTGAAAATGACATGGTCACCCTTTCAGGAGATGTTATTGTGGTTTAGAAGCTCAATTTGCATTAAACCCAATTTCACACATCTTTTTATGTCGATCAAGTAGTTCAAAGCCACTTAAAAGTCAACGAAAAGTGTATGCTCACCCTTTTAGGTGATACTTTTTATTATAATGTTTAATGTTTAATTCTTGTCAGAGTATTTTTGTACTAATGACATCTAAAGGTCAGTCTAGTGGTTCAAACTCACTTAAAAGCCAATAAAAATGGGGTACTCGCCCATTTAGGAGATGCTATTGTGGTTTAGAAGTTTGATTTGTACAAGTAAATGAAAATCTTTACAATGTCGATTCAAGAGATGTTTAGTGAGTTTAAACCACTAAATCGACCTTGTAAGGGTTTTCATTACTTGTTGTACAAATCGAGCTTCTAAACCACAATAATATCTCTTGAAAGGGTGACTATACCCTTTTCATTTACTTGTATGTGAGTTTAAACCATAGGACCGACCTTCATTTATTTGTTGTACAAATTGAGATTCTAAATTAAACGTCTAAACCACAATAACATTTTATGAATCGATCAATTGGTTACCATTACCACAAAATTGTAAATGTAATGACATAATTGATAAAAAGAAACCCAATGTCAAAATTAACATTTTGTGGTAATATAGTGACGTTCTTTCAAATTTAAACTAGGTGTCAAAATCATAATTTTAGTATAGTGTTCGGAAAAAATGGTTACCGGAAAAACATGAAAGAAAAACCGATCATTTGGTTGATATTGCAACAAAATTATAAATATAATGACGTAATTATAGAAAAAAATAACCCAATATCAAAATCGAAATTTTATGATAATATAATTTCTTTTCTCAAATTTGTCCGAGATAAAATAACCGGATTTCATTGTGCTATCATCATTTTTCAAAAAAATAAATAAATAAATAAATAATAATTCTTTTTTTAACAAATATAAAAAGAATACAAGGAACAACCAAAGCCAATCTCATCGTCAAGACCTGTATATTTGCATTTCCAATGTGTAATTTTTCATGCTTTTTAGGCACCCATCCAATTAACACGTGTCTTTCTTCTCTCTCTACCCCTGCTTTCTCGCTCTAACTTTGTTCCCTCCATCACTTCCCTTTGTAGAAGAAATTATTGACAAAAAACCAAAAAAGTGATGAAAAATAGATTGATACATCGATAAAAAAAAGAATTCCCCATCATTTACTCAAATGGGTCTCCTTTCTCATCTTCAATCCCCATCCTTTTCCATTCAATTTTGCTTTCTAGGGTTTTGAATGCGTTTATACTACGAAGCATCACAATTGCTTTATTTTGGTTGTTTCAATTGATGTTTGCTGGCTTTATCGAATTGGGTTCAGATGAAAAGGCGATATGGGTCTCTGATCTGACGTTTGTGTTATTATGATATGCTCTGTTTATTCAAAGGTCTTTATTTCCCCGCTTTTCTTGAAGGCCGTGTAATACACTCCATTTCCGAGGTTTGTAGAGATTGAAAGAGACAAGCAATTATCTTTATAGGGGATATTTCCACCGGACGCAACGTTTTCGCATGGATGCGCTTGATTTTCTAGGGTTCAATTTTGGGCGAAATTCAGGAAATAAATGATGGCAATGGTTGGGGGCGAAATGGAGAAGGATGTCGAATCTAAGCTGCATATTCAGGACAATTCAGCTAACCATGGGGGCAAAGATATCAATAAATCTAACAGCTTTAAATTTAGGGCACCACAAGAGAATTTCACCATCCAGGATTTCGAAATGGGGAAGATCTACGGCGTTGGTTCTTACTCAAAGGTCCATTTTTGATTATTTTATTGATTATATTTTGAATTATCAATTCGTTATCTCAATAGTAGCTCAATTATTACGTTGCTTATTTGTTAACTTTGACTTGTGGGTCAATGTTTGCATATCTTCTATCCATTTATCATTCACCCTACAGTTTTTTATTGACCTGTTCTTACAAAAATCATCTCGTTGCATATTCTGATTCTTTTGCAATATCTGTTATATAAACATTGCAATTTGACATTATCAGGTTGTAAGAGCAAGAAAGAAAGACACAGGAAAAGTTTATGCTTTAAAGATCATGGATAAAAAATTCATAACTAAAGAAAATAAAACTGCTTATGTGAAACTAGAGAGGATTGTATTGGATCAGTTGACTCATCCTGGAATCGTGCAACTCCATTTTACATTCCAAGATACTTTTTCACTATGTAAGCACAGTTTTCATGGATTTTGTTAATCTTATATTACCCTAAAATTCCTTTGTTTTATATATTTTTTTTGTTTTCAATCTTCATTCGTTGACACGTGCATTTGATTATATATTGAAGACATGGCACTTGAATCCTGTGAAGGTGGAGAACTTTTTGATCAAATAACAAGGGTAAGCATTTGTAGAATTGTAGTTATATTCTCTTTAGTTTGTATATTTTTCATTGTAAGATATTTATTATTTTTTTTTTTTTTACAGAAAGGTCGATTGACAGAGGAAGAAGCTCGCTTTTATGCAGCTGAAGTTATAGATGCACTTGAATACATACATAATTTAGGTCTCATACATCGAGACATTAAGGTATCACAATTGAAAATCTTGTTTTGTTTTAATGTAATTGCTATCATTTATAAATTATAATCACACACACACACACACATTGAATGAATAACTATTTCTGAATTCTGACATGATGTTAATAACAGCCAGAGAATCTGCTTCTTACATCAGATGGACACATAAAGATTGCTGATTTTGGTAGTGTAAAACCCATGCAAGATAGCCAAATAACAGTCCTTCCAAATGCAGCATCAGGTTTCCTTTTTTTCCTTTTTTCTTTTTTCTTTTTTTCTTTTTTCTTTTCAGGTTTTAAAATCATGACATTCTTTCTTCTTCTTCAGATGACAAGGCATGTACATTTGTGGGGACAGCTGCTTATGTTCCTCCAGAAGTATTGAATTCCTCTCCTGCAACTATTGGGTGAGTATTGATTGTTCTTGTTTATCATTCACTCTTTATTGTTTTCATATTGTGGAAAATGACTTTTATGCCCCTTGTAAACAGAAATGATCTCTGGGCACTTGGATGCACATTGTTTCAGATGCTATCTGGAACTTCTCCATTCAAAGATGCAAGTGAGTGGCTCATTTTTCAACGAATTATCGCCCGTGATGTCAGATTTCCAGATTACTTTTCTCATGATGCCAGAGATCTCATCGATAAGTTATTGGTAACATTTACATTCAAATCCTGTTATTCTTCTATTTATGTTTTTTTCTTCTTTTTAACAACTTAAATCACAAAAATAAAAAAAAAATGCAGGATACTGATCCTATAAAAAGACCTGGTGCAGGGCGTGATGGTTATAATTCATTAAAAAATCATCCTTTCTTTCAAGGAATTGATTGGCATAATATAAGGTCACGAAATCCTCCCAAACTTGTATTTGAAAAGGTATTTCTAAATTATTTTTTTAAATCTTTGTGGAGACCAAAGTCATTGTTAATAATAATTTTTTTTTGGAATATAGAGTCACACGGGTGGTAGGACAAGTGGGGGTGATGACACACCGGATTCCTCTTGGAATCCCGCACATATTGGTGATGGGACCGGAATCGGAATTGGAAATACCTTTTCCGATGTTACATCTTCTTCTGATATTAGCCATATAACTAAACTCGCTACAATAGACTCATTTGACTCAAAATGGTAGAATATACATTGCTATTCCTTACAAAGTATGATCTCATTATATGGCACATGAAGAATGATGAGTAAGATATTTTGACTTGTCAACAGGCAAGAATTTTTGGAGCCAGGTGAATCTATTCTCATGATTTCAATGGTGAAGAAGCTGCAAAAACTATCAAGCAAAAAAGTTCAACTTATTTTGACCAATAAGCCAAAGTTGATATATGTGGACCCCTCAAAGCTAGCTGGAAAAGGGAACATGATATGGTCAGATGATCCTAATGATCTTAGCATCCAAGTTTCCAGCCCTTCACATTTCAAAATTTTCATAGTGAGTCCTTCAATTTTCCACCTATGTCACCTTTTTACTCAACCTAAAAATTTAACACGAGATTGCCCCAAAGAATTTCTCATTACATGTTGTAAAAAGTTATATGGATTATATTTTGTTATCTTGTTGATTGATTTTTATGCAGCCGAAGAAAGTGATGTCATTTGAGGATCCAAAGCAGAGAGCTTATCAATGGAAAAAAGCAATTGAAGCTCTTCAAAACCGATGATTTTTCTATTCTATTTGGTTTGTTTACACATTCTTTTCATGTAACATTAATGTTGGACCTTGGGAATCCTAAAGAACAGTTGGATTCTGCTGAGGAAATTTGTTTTATTTAAGAAAAAAAATATGATTGTTTTATTTAACAAAAGTCATCCATCTTCTTTCCACTGTTTTAATTTTATATTTCTTTCTTTTTTGTTTTGGGTTTCTTGTTATGAAGGTATTTACTTTTTAGTTAGTTAATATTATAAAAGTGTTTCTCATGATTTGTTTATTTTTGGTTTGTGGTGTAATTCGTTTTTTGTAGCAAATGTAGATTAGACAAATAATATTGAAAAGATACACAATATTATTAGCGTTCAACATCAATAGAAAAGTTGCTATTTTAGCAAATCTTCACTAATTCATTCTCTCATACAAAAATAAATTACATTTTAGCTTCTTTAATCTTGCTTTGGGGTATCAGAACTTTGATCATTAGAAGGTTGAAGAAGCTGTCTTTCTGCAAGAATTTTCTTTGTTCTCTCCAAAACACCAAAAAAAATCGAACCTCCAATTCCAATCCACAGAACTCGTGGTCCAATACCCTATTTTTTTTACAAATTCAGAACTCAAAATTTACATAGGCTGGGGGTATTTTAGTAATTTTCACAAACATACCTTTAAAAGGGCAGGAGGTCCCTCTTCTTTCAAAATCGTTTGAACACAATCAAATATCCCTTTGTACTGATTTGCTGATCCCTGAATCATCAACCTTGTTTTTATCACATCAAGTGGAGTAGTAATCGCTCCCGTAATCGCCCCTACAAAACATAATTCAAGAATTACCTATTTGTCCTTCATTCATTGGAGGGTATTTTAGACAATTTCACAAACAATGAAAATATATAGAGAGAGAGAGGGAAGGGTTACCACTTACCAGCAAAAGCACCAATTGCAGCATTTTCTGGATCATGAAGGTCTCTACGTGCCTGGTGGATGTTTTAAAAACAAATCAAAAGTTTGCAAGGGGCAATTTCGTAATTTAGCTATTATCATATATATAAATTTTGGTCTTTTTTAAATAAATACTCACAGCCAACTTATAGCCAATCCGAAGTTGCTCATATATACAAAACTGAATAGCATCAAAAGGTAGATCTCGTAGCAGAAAAGATCCATATCCCTAAATTTATTCACAATTGAAGGTTTTAAAACTCCTTAATAAATAATAACAATGCATTTATATTTTTATACACATAATAGCAACAATTTCTTACACATTTCTTAATTGATAATAGCAATATGTTACATTAAACTTGTAAGCATTTTACAAGTTTCATATTATATATATATATATATATATATATATATATATATATATATATATATATATATATATATATATATATATATATATATATATATATATTGCTATTATCAGTATAGAAATGTAAGTAAGTTGTTATATAAGTACATTGCTATTTTCTGCAATTTGGTGACAAAAATAGAAAGATGCATACCGCATATAGACCTTTAAAACCCTCTTTGGAAACAATAAGGCGAACTGCATCAGGAGCTGAAGAAAATTGACCGGTTTGTAATCTTTGCTTTACAACCTATTTGTCAAGACTCAAGAAGTTAAAAGGGTAAAAAAGTAAATTCACCCTATAAAAGAAGTAATCGAGAAATGGAAATGTTGATGAAAAATAATAAGTTTACCTCTGTTGGAACGCGTATTAGAGATGCAGCAACTCCTCCAACAGCACCTGCAGTCTACATAACATTTTGCAAATTTTTTAAATAAAAAGAATAAAGTCATCATAAACTTTAAAAAAAAAAAAATAGTTTTTTTTTTTTTTTTTTTTTTTAAATCTTGTAAACAAGAAGATGTATTTAACTATTTTCCAATTGATAGAATAAGAATTACGAGATGTGCAACAGCACTAAGATTTTCAGGAAGCATCTTCAACAGTTTCTTTTTTGCAGGTTCATAAACACCAACAAACAAAGCAGAAGCCCTATAGATTCAGTAATTTGTTATAAGCATCACTTCCAAACAAAAGGGTAAAATAGTCATTTACGTACACAAGTCAATACTTACGGTAAAACACCAACAAGATTTCCAGCCAATCCTGAATATAGCCCATGAAGAACAATCTTTCCTCCACCTCGAGCTGCCTACAATCAAAATATCATGTTAAAGTTTTTTTTTTACATGTTAGAATTTTTTGTTTTTCCCTAAAGTAATTCAAAGATGATTACTCTTTTGTTATACAACAAACAGTTGATTTAAATTGGTATACCTGCAATCTTGTCTTTATTGTATCAATTGGGTATAAAGCTGTTTCAACAACAACTCCAGCTGTTCCTCCTGCTATGAAACCCTCTGCACTATCACATGAATAATTATAACTTTGTAACAACAAAGTTTTTCATATCATTTAACTCACATCAACAACTTCTCAATTGGGTCTTAGTAAAAGGATTAACAATATACTTTAAGAACAATCGATTGAAGTAAACAAATTTAAGAAATACCAAATAAGGTTCGTAAGAAATCAACTGGATTTTCTTCCCCTGAGCTGATTGATGCAAAAGACTTTTTTGGTATTAACTGCAACCTTTGTGATTTCGCATTAGATACATCTGCAAAACCACACACCTATTTATGAGTGATGAAACGTGGGGCTTTAGGTTTGTATTCATATCATCAACTATTTATCTACCAATCGGTTAATTTTCTAGTAATGTTATCATGTTCATCAATGAATTTAACTGGATATGGACATTGGACCCTTGGTCGTTCAATTTAAGATGATTAATGGAATTATAGGATTAATTATGCCAAAATTGAGAAATGTTGACGAATTGAAGTTACCTGGTGAAGACATTGATGAGTTCTTTGAGTTAATAGTTAATGTAAGAGGGCCCATCAAGCTTCAAGATGAAAATTATCCACCTGGAGATTGAAAACTCCAGAATTGTGAGAGATTGAGGTTAGCAAACGAACTATAAAGGACAAAAAACAGGAACTAAAAAAAATTTAGCAGAACGTGTACACCGAAGGCGTACACAGTGGTCTTGTCTGACTCGTGTTTTCGGTGAAGACGTCTGGCTATGGTATATGGATATAGAATTATAGAGACGATGAGTAGCGTAGAACTGTATCAGTATGAGTATGAGTGTGTAGCCATTGTTGGGCTAATAGAGGTACAGCCTAACAGGCTTACCCTACCCAGGCCTTGGATTGGGCTTCCAAGGTTACCATCTTTGGGCTAGCTGCTTAGTTTCCTATTCCTGTGGCCTGTCAGCGGTTAGCATGTGGGTTTGCAAGAATTTGGAATTTAAAAATTATAATCATTTATTTTTAGGATATTTTTAGAAAGTGTTACACTGCCTGTTTTTACGGTTTCAAATTTTGCTTGATTGTTTCCTGAGCCAGGTAGGTAAAATGACTTTAATATCTTTTATGATTTTTTTTTTTTGAAGAATTTCATATATGCCCTTCTTAAACATCAAAATATCATATTTACCCAACATAATTTCTAAATATCATATTTACCCTTTATAAACTTTCTAAATATCATATTTACCCTTCATAAAATTTCAAAATATCATATATATCCTTTTTAAACATCAAAATATCATATATACCCTTCTGAAATATCAAAATATCGTATATGTACTTTTTAAACATCAAAATATCAATGATAATATCTAAAATATCCATCATCTACAAAATGATAATAATCAACAACAACAAAAACTAAACAATCAAAATATACATTCCATAGAAAGGGTTAAAGATGAATCTTTTTATCTGTCAAGAGGCTGACATTCCAACAATTTACAAGTTCACATTCCATTATCATAGACGTAAGGATACTATTATTAAATTTCTTAATTATTATAATAACTCTAAGGTATAAAAATGATTATAAAATATTAAAAACATTATAAAAAATGATTTGGGTAAATATGATATTTTGAAAGTTTATGAAAGGTAAATTTGATATTGATAAATTAAACTAGGCAAATATGATATTTTGAAGTTTAAGAAGGGCATATATGAAATTCTCCCATTTTTTTTGGATTAATTACATTTAAAAGAAAAAATAATAAATAAATATACCCATCTACCCCCCTTTTTTTTCTCTCTCCTAATTTGAGAACACATTCGCACAACCCATTTCTTTTGCTCATCTTCCCTTTCTCCCTATACAGTGTCACCGATCACCACCCATGAACACTCATCCCTTCCATTGCTTCAACATCCCCTATGAACACCCTTTTCCTTCGCTCCCTCGATCGCCCCTTCCTCGGCGTTCCCCTTTCACCACCCACCTCTCTTTGTTCTCCGACGTTTTGTTCTCCGGCGGTGAATTAGATTCGCCGCCACTAACCTTCTCTAATTTTAGGTGATCTACACCATCCCCAAATCCATGCATGGTGGATTTAGCAAAGGTTTCATGATAGACACAATTAGAATCACCATATATTAGAGGGTACTAAAGTATAATAGTCAATTATACATATATATAGTTAGCTTGTAATCGTTTATCAAAATCAATATACAAACACATATTTGCGGCTTATTATGGTATCAGAGTCGAGGGTTCTTATTGCCTAGTATACAAGAAAAACGATTAGGGTTGTCTCCTTCAAGCAATCAAGCGTCGATTCCTTCACAATCAAGGTTAGCATCGGGCCTCCTCCACCCTCTCTGTTCAGCAATCATGACACTCATCGCAAGCTTCACAACAGATGAAAAGAAAGTTCACAATTCTCATAAATTTGCCTTCAATCTCACACTAACTAACTATGGTTATTGGAAAAATATGATCCAACCTTTTCTTCTCGCTCATAAACTATTCAGTTACGTTGATGGCACAATCCCATGCCCACACAAAGACATACCCCTTGATGTCGCCACTGCTGCTGATCCCAAACCAGCACCACGTGTAAATCCAGACTACACCATCTGGATTGCCAACGATGCCCATATTCGTATGTTAATCATCTCTACGATCTCTGAATCTGCTTTTCTCCATGTACAAGGTAACATCTCCCATGATCTCTGGTCTTCTCTTGAAACCGCTGATAACTATCTCAATCGAGCCCAAGAGTATGTTGATGCTCTTGCAGCCATTGGTGAACCTGTCAAAGATAAGGACCTGGTTATGCTTGTTGTCTCGGGTCTTAGAGACGAATACAATAGTCTAAAGTCCACCATTACAGCATGGCAATGCCCCACTACCCTCATTGAACTTCATGCTCTAATTAGTGATCATGACTTTATGATTGCAAAGTCTCGCCAACTAGTGGTTCATGCCTTCCATACCACCCAAGAAACTGCAAAAACCCACAACGACTCGCTATCTGCAATTGCCTCTCAACTTGCTGCTCTCGGCCTTCAAATACAGCCCACCACATCACCTACTGCTGCCTAACAGGTTTTTTATGGCTCCAGACAACGTTTAAACTCTACCCGTGGAAACAGAGGTCAACGTGGCTTTTACCGAGGCAACCATCATCGCGACCGAGTTAACAGTACACACCCATTTAGTAGGGCCTCAACCCAAAATATAGTTTTTGGTGCCTGCAATTGATGTGGCATTGGCCACCTTCCATCGCAATGCCCACATCGTGATCCTTCAAGCATTCGCAACAGACCTACAACGAATTTTGCAGATGTATCTACAGCTTCTTCATCTACCACCTGGTTTCCAGACATCGGTGCCAATAGCCACGTCACATCGGACCTCGCTAGCATGGATGATTCTCGCACCTATCACGGCGGTGACAACACTACAAGAATTCCATCCTGTGCAGACGACATCTATCCAGACGACATATGTCGTCTGCAAAAGTCACCCTATACCGACGACATGTCGTCGGTACAAAGGAAAAAAATGTTGACCATTAAACTTTGATCAGAAGGGCTATACCGACGACATGTCGTCGGTACAGACTCGGCGGGAAAAGATGAAAAATTGGCGGTATATCGAAAAGCTTTACAGACGACTTGTCGTCTGGAAAATGCTCTAAAAAAATATTTTCCATTTATTTTATTTCCTTGTAGCAGAAATCCGAGACGATGTCGTTTTGTGCGACCTATTCAGACGACTTGTCGTCGGTATAGGTTGATAAAAAATTAATTTCCCTTTATTTTTAATCCGTGTCGCAGAACATGGAAACGATGTCGTTTTAGGCAACCTATTCCGACGACTTGTCGTCTGTATAGGTTGATTAAAATTTAATTTCCCTTTATTTTTAATCCGTGTTGCAGAACATAGAAACAATGTCGTTTTTCGAGGCAATAGCGACGACATGTCGTCTGAAAAAGGGGGCCCCGATCCGCGTGAAATCTTTTTTTTTTAATGAACTAAAGCTATACGACGGCGTTTTGGTCGACCTATACCGACGACATGTCGTCTGTATAGGGTTTCCCTGATAACAAAACCCAGAATCAACTTTCATTTTGCAGTCGCCTCACAGTTTTCTCTCTCACACTTGCAGTCGGCGATCTCATGGGCTAGAAGTTGATTCCAAGTTCATCTTCCACCAAGGTAAGGGTTTTGTTGCTTGATTGCTTCTTAATTTCTAAATTTTTGGTCCTTTATTTGTAATAATATGGAGCCCTAAATCACAGCCCCATTTCTCTCTATTGATTGGGAAGAAGATTCACCACCCATAGAAAAGGAATTCCGTTTTTTGACCATATTTTGAGGTTAGTTTATTGATTTTTTAATTTTTTTTCTTAAACTATACCATACCACAGGAGATGATGCAGTATTTTTTTTTTTCATATACCATGATATGTATATGCAACATAATAACCACTTTGAATTGCATTGTATGAATGATTTTAAATGGTGATAATTTTAGTGGATTAGATGTGCTTCAAGGGATAGTTATATCTAAATGTTATATATATATATATATATATATATATATATATATATATATATATATATATATATATATATATATATATATATATATATATATATATATAAATAAGGACCACTTTAAATTGCATTGATATGAATGGTTTTAAATGATGATAATTTTAGTGCATTAGTGTGATAAGAACTCAATCACACTCATTAATTTAGTTTCCAAATAGTGCATTAGATGATAATTTTAATGCATTAGTGTGATAAGAACCCAATCACACTCATTAATTTAGTTTTCCAATAGTAGCAAAAAATCTTAAACTAGATAAACATACAATTTATAAAAACACTAACAAAGAGCATGCAACAATGATATAACCGAAACAACTAGAAACTCTAAAAAAAACTTAAGGGTAAGCTTTATATAGACATTATATTTTGAATTAATACATAAAAACAATACTTAACTAACGAAATTCAAGGAATCATCTTCACAATTTGATTTTATATGCAACCTTATAGAATTAGCAAACAAACTTCACAATTTGAGTGTTTAATTTTGTTAGTGACTTAATGTTGGTCATGTCATCGTTAGCTTAATTAGGTTATTAATAGCAACGTACTTTTAGTAATTTTAAAATAATTATAAAGTAAATATGATATAGAACTAGCAAGTAAATGTGATTTAGTTTTTTAAAAAAATCAATAAAAACAAAATATTAAATTAATTGTAAAATCAAATTAAATTAGTTTTAAAATCAAATTAATATTAGTTTAAAACAAAATCAAATTAATTATAAAAGCATATATAAATATAAAAATGAATAAGAAAAATAAAGGAAAAAACTACAATGATATAATTGAAACAACTAGAAACTCTAAAAAAACTTAAGGGTAAACTATATATGGTTTAAAACAAAATCAAATTAATTATAAAATCAAATTAAATTAGTTTTAAAATCAAACTAATATTAATATTAAAATAAAATAAATTATAAAATCAAATTGATATGATTTTCTTATTAAAACACGTTGAATCGTTGATTTTTAGTTTAAATTTCTTCTGCATAACCATTGTGAATACTCTATCCAATCCGTTTGATTTTTACTTTTCGAGTACATATATTTTTGTATACTTGTGAATACTGTATCTATTCTTAGGTATATATTTATTTATATAGCCTAAATACAATCTAACTTTCGATAACTAT